ATTCTTTCCTCCTCCTGGTTGTTAGGTCAATAGACTTAACTTCAGGTTCACTGATTTTTCCGATGCCTGCCAGAAGCCCTCTAGTGAATTTTTCATTTCAGTTAGTTTGCTTTTCAACTCCAGGTTATTTCCTTTTTATAATCTCTAAGTCTTCATTGATAGTATCTGTTAAGACATAATTCACTTAGTTTCCTTTAGCGCTCGGAGCATATTTAAGACAAGTGACTTAAAGGTTTTGTCTAGTAAGTCCAGTGCCTGTGTTTCCCCAGAAACAGTTTCTGTTAATTTCATTTGTTAATGGACCATTATAAAGTCTTTATTTTTTTTGGTCATGTATTATTCCTGCATCTTCTCTGCTTTCTAGCTTATGGTCAGCTAGTGTCTTAGCAGAGATTTCCTTCAATATCTGTATCTTGAAGAGCGTGGTGAATAAAGAAAGGAAAGAAAGAGAAATGGAGAGGGAGTGCAGTGGAAGGGGAGGGGAAGGGTTAGAGAAGAAAGAAAAACCTCTCTCAGTCTTTGAAGAATGACTCCGTGTTGGGACACTTTTCAACACTTAGCCATTTACAGGCCTGCTTTGTCTTGTCTTCCTTTTGTGCTGCAGTTAAAGGTCAGCTAGAGGTGAAAATATAGGCTGTCTCATGTCTTTCTGAGCCTGCATCCTTCTCTGGGCATGTGCATGGTTTTGTAACTTCCTTAAGCTACATGGGCACTTTTCAGTTCCCTCATTTCTCAAACCAGTTTCTCATACCGTGGTAACTTGTATGTTGTTGTTTTGCTGGAAGCTATGCTACCGGCATTTGTAATATTAGAAGGGTCACCCATGGTGGACAGGTTTCAGTGAAGGTTCCAGACTTTGTTGGACAGAATAGGAATAAAGAGAGGCAGATCACTTCTGAATGTTTAGCCAATGGAACATACTTAGACCAAGGTGAGTCACTCTGGTTGGAAGGTACTTAAAATATAACTGGGGAAGAGCTGCCTCCTCAAAGTAGATTTGACCTTACCAATGTAGATGGAGTAAAGCTTTTGGAACCTTCATTTGCTGATGGGGCACAAGTCAAAATGAGAAGAAACAACTGCAAACATCTGTTAATAATTAGACCGTGAAATGTATGAACTAAAAACTAGGAAAATTGCAAGTCACCAAAATGAAATGGAATGCATAAAGATTGATATTCTAGGCATTAATGAACTGAAATGAACTGGTATCAGCCATTTTGATTCAGACAGTTTATGAGTTACTATGTCAGGAATGACAAATTGAAGAGGAATGGCATCACATTTATCATCAAAATATGCACTGAAGTAGAATGCTGTATATGATAGAGTAATACCCATATACCTACAAGGAAGACCAGTTAATACCACTATTCAAATTTACGCACCAACCACTAAAGTAGTGATGAGGAAATTGAAGAATTCTCCCTACTTACTTCTTCAGTCTGAAATTGATCAAACATGCAATCAAGATGTATTGATAATTACAGATTATTGGAATTCCAAAGTTGGAAACCAAGAGGAAGGATCAGTAGTCTTTTGTGATAGGAAACGGTGCTGGAGATAGTATAATAGAAGTTTGTAAGGCCAATTACTATAAACATGAATCTCACCAAATGGAATACACAGGAATCCGTTGATTACATCTATGGGAAGAGATTATAGAGAAGCTCAATAATATCAGCTAAAACCAAGCCAGGGCCGATTGTAGAACAGATCACCAGTTGCTCATTTGCAAGTTCAGACAGAAGCTGAAGAAAATTCACAATCTACAAGAGCCAAAATATGACCTTGAATATATCTCACCTGAATTTAAAGAGCATGTCAAGAACAGATTTGCTGCATTAGACACTAATGACCGAAGACCAGAAGAGTTATGGAACTACCATTAAGATGATTATACATGAAGAAAGCAAAAGGTCATTAAAAAGATAGTTAAGATAGAAAAGACCAAAATGGATGTCAGAAGAGATTCTGAAACTTGTTTTTGAACATAGAAAAGCTAAAGAGACTGGAAGAAATGATGAAATAAAAGAGCTGAACAGAACATTTCTAAGGGCATCTCAAGAACACAAAGTCAATTATAATGAACTGTGCAGAGAAATGGAGTTAGAAAACCAAAAGGGAAAAACACACTCAGCATTTTCAAGCTGAAAGAGCTGAAGAAAAACTTCAAACCTCAGGTTATAATACTGAAGGATTCTATGAACAAAATACTGAACAATGCAGGAAGCATCAAAAGACAATGGAAGTCATTGTACTAAAAAAAATTGGTCGATATTCAACCATTTCAAAAGGTAGCATATTATCAAGAACCAATGGTATTGCAGGCTACAGTTCAAGCTGCACTGAAGGCATTGGCAGAAAACAGGGCTCTGGGAATTGATGGAATACAAATAGAAATGTTTCAAGAAACTGATGTAGTGCTGGAGGCACTCACTTGTCTATGCCCAGGAATTTAGAAAACAGTTGCCTGACCAGTCTATTGAAAGAGACTCATATTTGTGCCCGTTCCAAAGAAAGGTGACCTAACGAAATGCAACCATCATCTAAGAGTATCATTAATATCATATTCAAGTAAAAGTTTGCTGAAGATAATTAAAAAATGATTGCAACAAAACTTCAACAGGGAGCTGCCAGAAATTCAGGCTGTATTCAGAAGAGGATATAGTGGAACAAGGGGTATCAGGGCTGACGTCAAATGGATCTTGGCTGAAAGTAGAGGAGTACCAGTAAAACATTTACGTATGCTTTATTGACTATGCAAAGGCATTGGACTATGTAGATCACAACAAACTATGGATAATATTGCAAGGAATGGGTATTCCAGAACACTTAACTATGTTCATGAGGAACCTGTACATGGATCAAGAAGCAGTTTTTCACACAGAACAAGGGAATACTAAATGGCTTAAAATCAGGAACTCTGTAATTGGAGTTGTGTCCTTTCACCATACTTTTCAGTCTGTATACTGAGAAAATAATCAGAGAAACTAGATTATATAAATATGAAGAAGAATTTGGCATTAGAATTAGAGGAAGACTCATTGATAACCTGTGATATGCAAATGACACAGCTTTGTTTTCTGGAAGTGAAGAGGAATTGATAACTTACTGATAAAGATCAAAGACTACAGCTGTTAGTATGGATTGCATGTCAATGTAAAGAAAAGGAAAATCACAACTGAACCATGATGAATGGAGAAAAGGTTGGAGTTGTCAAAGACATCATTTTACTTGGATCTAGATGAACTCCTATGGAAGCAGCATTCTGGAAATTGAAGGATGTATTGCACTAGACAAATCTGCGAAAGACCTCATTAAAGTGTTAAAGAGTCAATATATCACTTTAAAGACTAAGGTGTGCCTGACCTAAGACATGGTGTTTTTGCTTCACCTGCATGTGAACATTGGACTATGAATAAGGGAGCTTGTAGAAGAATCAATGCCTTTGAATTATGGTGTTAGAGAAGAATATTAAAAGAACTGTGGACTGTTAGAAGAACAAACAGTTCTGTCTTAGAGGAAGTATAGCCAGAATTCTCCTTAGAAGTAAGGATGGTGAGATTTCTTTTCTTGTTCTTTGGACACGTTAGCAGGAGGGACCATACTTGCAAAAGTGGAGGGTCAGCGAAAAAGAGGAAGATCCTTAATGAGATAGATTGACACCATGGCAGCAACAGTGGGCTCAAATGTAACAATTGTGAGGATAGTGCAGGAGGGCCAGGCTGTGTTTTGTTCTGTTGTACATAGGGAAACTATGGACCAAAACAGACTTGATGGCACCTTACAATAGCAACAGTTTACCCAAATAATTATACTCAGCTGTACCCTCCAACTTTTCCATATGTCTTGTGTTAACCTCAATTGTACTCTTTGCCCCAGTCAATACTGGGTTGTTCATTTACCTTAAGATTTTTTTTTTTGAAAAATGAATTGTTGTTGTTGTTGTTAAGTGCCATCAAGTTGGTTCCAACTCATTCCGACCCTGTATAGAGTTTCTAAGGAGCACCTGGTGAGTTTGAACTGCCAACTTTATGATTCAAAGATATTGTCCTCTGTTCTTCTAGTACTTACAGCACACAACTCATTTTTAATCAATAAATTTAAGTTGATTATATTCTTTAAATATATGAAAGGTATTTTATTATATAACACAGTAGTGACTGCACTGACTGTATTTTCTCAAGTGGCAAATGAGACAGAGGTTAGCATTCCTCTTTGACTCCTTATGAGAACCTTGAAATTATCTGTCTTTTGGAGGACTCAGTTTCTTACATCATCTGTGCTACAGTCCTTGAGGATACCAATGGTGCTTAGTAGTAAAGAACATTTTGCTAAGTTGTTCTGTCATGGGTCCTTGCTCAAGGGGCTAATCTTTTACTTCTAATCTCATTTTCTGCACTTGGTCATGTGTTTCTTCATTATTATGCACAGGATCTGGTCGAGGGATAGCTTTTGTGTGCTCATATGGAATATCCACAGAAGGGTAGTAACATATTATCGTCCTGCTCTCAGGTGTCAGAGTAAGCTCTGCCTTGCAATTATAGTCATCTGGAAGAGAAGAATATGTAGATTTATGACAAACACAACATAAAATGCCATTTTGAATGGGAAGTAACTGTTTCAAAGCAGTTGTTTGATAGAGCCCATTTTACTGCTGCTACTGCCGTGGTGAACCAAGATACTTCTCAGATAGTCTGAAAAAAGATGCTGTGAAGAGAAACTGCTTTTCAAATCTGTTAGTACGCCACACCTATTTTCAACTTTTGACAGCTCAATACGGCAAGTTGGCCATCTTATTTCAGTCTCTAAGTTGATTGCATTTTAAATTATATTAATATTATTGTTGTTAGATAAGTATCAGGTAGGTTGAAATTATAAAAGAATACTAAACTTGTGGTCTGTAATAGCTTTAAACATTAATATGAGACATTTTGGTATTTTTATTTTGTGGTTGGGTATTATTTATGGGTTTATTTTTATTTTTCGTTTTATAGGCGTCTACCATGGCTCAAGAATCTCCCAAAAATTCAGCAGCAGAAATCGCAGTAACAAGTAATGGAGAGCTTGATGAATCTCACGAGCACACCTTTAATAGGGTAAGAACATCTTTTCCTTTTCTTAGTGCAAAGAATTGTGATAAGCCCTTAAATGTTGAGATGAAAGTTAGGAGATAAAGTTAACATAAGAATATTTTCTTAGCTTAACTGAATTGTCAAGAATCTAATGTTATTAAATAGGGATGACTAGGGCAGCCATGATATTGATTCCTCAAGGTTAAGCTCTAGGACTGTAAGCAATTAGACTTTGGTGTTATTATCAGTGGTTCTATTTTATGACTACAACAGGAAAGTATGTAATGTTTTTGGCATATAACTTTATAAAATTACTCTTGTATGTAATGTTTTTGTTGTTGTTCTTATGTGCTGTCAAGTCGGTTCTGACTCATAGTGACCCTTTATAAAGGGTTTCCAAGGAGCAGCTGGTAAGTTTGAATTGCCAACCTTGTGGCTAAAACCAACTTGTGGTCCTGTGCTTTTCCTACAGCGCCACACCAGGACTCCTTTTATGTGGTTAGAAATATATTAACTACAGATTGTTGTCAAGTCAGTTACGACTCATAGTGACCCTGTTTTCAAGGAGCAACTGGTTTGAACTGCTGACCTTGCAGTTAACATTCCCTTGCTTATCGTTTAAAAACTTGGCATTATTTTATCTCTTATCTAAGTGTTTTTAATATGTAATTCTTAGGTAGGCTTCTACTGTTTACTTCCTAAAGTGGCGTACTTGACACAGTGGGAAATGAAACTTTTGGTGCTTTTAGTTTTGATCTGTCTCTCTGTTGAAATTTAAATGTACTGCTATTTAATGGAAATAGTGTGGGTTTAGAGGTAATCTGGGCTCAATTTCAACTGTGCCATTTTTACCTGTGTAAACTAGGCAGGCATTTCATCTCTTCTAGTATGTGTTTTCTAATGTTTATAATGAGAATCATCTTTAGTTTAATGGGGATATTAGCATTAAATGAGATAAGATTAATAAGAAGTCTAATATAGCCTTAAAAGTAAAAAATGATGATTATTTCTGGAGATATTTATATTAAACATCCATTTTTAATGGCATCTGGTGCATGTGTACAACTTAAATATCTTTGAAGATAGTAATTTTAATATTCCTGAAGAAGTAGTAGTTGGATTATTTTACAGTCTAATTAGGACTTTAAAAACTTTATTTGTTTAATAGTAAATTCCTTAAGTGAATAGAAGATGTTAATTTAGTTACTATTGATATTTTAGACCATATAATCCTTTGTTGTGGGAGGCTACCTGTGCATTCTTGGCCTCTTTTCACTCGACGCTTGCCAGTGTGACAACTAAACATGTCTCCAGTCATTGCCAAAGGTTTCCCCCTTGAGAACCTACAGGAATAATTTATTTTGGAAGGATCAGGCCAAGGCTGATTACTATGTGGTATTGGTTAAAGATATCCCAAATGTCCAACTTTTCCAAAATGCTGTACCGCTCTGTCATCTCTAATACCAGCCACCACTCCTCCCCTCAGGGCTTCACTGTATGCTACAGTGTCTCACAGAACTCGCAGACTGTCAAGGAAATGTCTCACATGTTTATGGAGACTGGCAAGTCCCAAATCCATAGTTCATATGTCAGTCTGGAGGGTTCTTTTCACTCACATCAGATCAAACTGTTTACCTGCAAGACTGTGGAAATTGGCAAATCGGTTAGGCAGTAGGCCACTGCCTAAAGTCCAAAAGAATCAGAGGTCAGGCAAGCCAGATACAGGATTCAGAGCAAGGGCTTAAACTTTGCTAGTGTTTCTCAGCAGGGCTGCAGAGACACAACAGTCTGAAAGAGAAGAGGAAGGTCTCATTAGTTGACCAAGCAAAGGCGGGCACTGGGACTCATTTTGACAACATTACCTAAGCCCTTGGTCAGGGGTCTCTTAGGGCAGAAACTGGCTTCTTATTGGCGTTTGTCAGGATGATTCAGCACAAGATTTAAGTTGTCTTCACATTCTCAGCTGGGAAGTGGGGAGGGGGAATCACAAAGATGGTCTTTTTTCTACATCCTGGGCATTGATGGCAGTATGTTTTTTATCCTCATGACACCAAATGGTCAGGTTGAGGACACATTGGCAGGCCATATCTGGTCTCAAACAGTTCTGCAACCCCAGCCTCCTGTTTTTCTCAATTAAGTAGGAAGCTGGGGTTTGCCTAGTAAAATAGAAATTTAGTTCTTATTTTAACATGCATATCAAAGATGATGATTAATTTGCAGACCACACTACCAAAGAAACTAATGATGGTGACTTGAGTCACACACTCTAGTAAGGCGGGAACTCGAGATACATCCCACCTTAATCTTGCTTCATTAACATAAAAGACAACACACTCTAAAATGGGACTATAACCACAGACATAGAGACTGAGATGGACAATAATCCCAAAATGGAAGACTATGACTAGAAGGGCCATAGTAAGTAATTCATTGCACCATAGAACTGCTGATTCATCATTTAAAGAATGTTTATATTTTTAAATTTCACTAAATTTTATTAATTTTCACCTCAATAGTCTTTGCAAGAGACCTGAGATTTATTTTCAGTACATTAGCTTAGATGGTGGTTCAAACTCCTAGCAGCTATGTGGGAGAAAAACTTTGTGATCTGTTTTCATAAATATTATTGTTGTTGTTAGGCGCCATTAAATCAGTTCTGACTAATTGTGAACCCTATACATGAAAGCATGAAATACTGCTCTGTCCTGCACCATCTTCACAATTGTTTCTGTGTCTGAGCCCGTGTTTCAGCCATGGTGTCAATGTCTCTTTTTTTACTGACCCTCGACTTTACGAAACTCAGTGTTCTTCTGCAGGGGTTGATCTCTCTTGATAACATGTCCAAAGTATGTGAGGCAAAATCTCTCTATTCTGGAGCATTCTGATTGTACTTCTTCTAAGATGTATTCATTTTTCTATGGTTAGGTGCCATCAAGTCAGTTCCTACACATAGCGACCCTGAGGAGTGACTGGTGAGTTTGAACCACCGATCTTGAGATTCAAACCTTCCTTGTGGTCCAGTGCTTATCCTACAGCACAACACCAGGACTCCATTCTTGTGCAGTATATTTAATGTTTTTTGTCAATACCATAATTTGAAGGCATCAATTCTTCTTCGATTGCCCTTTATCATTGTTCAGCTTCCACATGCATATGATTGTTGTTTTTGTTAGGTGCCATTGAGTGGGTTCTGACTCAGCTACCTATTACACAACAGAACGAAACAATGTACAGTCCTGTGCTATCCTCACAATTGTTATTTGATTACATTGGCTTAGTTACATTGCATATGATTATGGCCTTGAAAACCCTGTGGGGCAATTTGCTCTATCACATGGGGTTTCTATGAGTTGCAATCCACTTGATGGTACCTAACAATAACAATTTAGTTTTTCAACACCTATGGGTCAATATGGACTCCTGGTGTGGTGCTGTAGGAACAGCACTGGACTGTGAACCATGAGGTTGGCAGTTCACATCCACCAGCTCCTCTGAACTCAATACAGGGTCACTGTGAGTCGTAACCTACTTGATGACACTTAACAGCAACAGCAACACGGGTCAATATAAAGTCCCTAGGTGGCACAAGCAGGTTGTGTTTGTCCAACACCCATCTGTAAGTATGTTGTACAGTGGTGGCTTGTATGTTGCTGTGATTCTAGAAGTTATGCCACAGATATTTTAAATAACTAGCAGGGTCATCCACAGTGGACAGGTTTCAGCTGAGATTCCATACAAAGACAGTCTAAGGAAGAAGGAGAGGTGGACTACTTCTGAAAATTTAGTCACTAAAAAGTTTCTGAATAGCAGTGGAACAGTGTCAGCACCAGAATATTGAATATTGAAACATGATGAAGGACACCAGAATACTGTCAGATACAGTGCCAAAAGATGGCCCCTCAGGTTGAAAGGCAGTCAAAATATGACTGGGGAAGAGCTGCTTCCTTAAAGTAGGGTTGACCATGATAACACAAATGGTGTAAAGCCCTTGAGACCTTCCTTTGCTGACGAGGCACAACTCAAAATGAAGAGAACAGCTGTAATATCCATTAATAATCAGAACATGGAATGTATGAAGTATGAAGTAGAAAAATTAGAAATTGTCACAAATGAAATGGAACAAATAAACATTGATATCCTAAGCATTAGTGAGGTGAAATGGACTGGTATTGGCCATTTTGAAACTGACAGTCACATGGTTTACTATGCTGGGAAGCACAAATTAAAGAGGAGTGGCATCACATTCATCATCAAAAAGAACATATCAAGATATGTCTTAAAGTGTAATGCTATCTGTGATAGAATAATATCTACATAAGGAAAACCAGTTAAAACCACTATTATTCAGATTTACACAACAACTCTAAAGCCAGTGATGATGAAATTGAAGAATTCTGCCAATTTCTTCAGTCTGAAATTGATCAAACATACAATCAAGATGTATTGATAATTGGTGATGATTTGTCTGCAAAGGTTGGAAACAAAGAGGAAGGATCAGTGGTTGGAAAATACGGCCTTAGTGATAGAAGTGATGCTGGAGATTGCATGATAGAATTTTGCAAGATCAATGACTTCTTTATTGCAAATACTTTAAAAAAATTTTTTTTTAAGTATTTTAAGATGACTATACACATGGACATCAACAGATAGAATACACAGATATCAAATTGACTATATCTATGGAAAGAAACGGTAGAAAAGCTCTGGAACATCAGCCCAAACAAGGTCACGGGCTGACTGTGGAACACATCATCAATTGCTCATATGCAAGTTCAGGCTGAAGCTGGAGAAAATTAAAACATGCCCATAAGAACCAAAATACGACCTTGAACATATCCCACCTGAATTTAGAGATCATGTGAAGAACAGATTTGATGCACTAGACACTGAAGACCAAAGACCCGAAGAGTTGTGGGATGACATCAAGAACATCCAACAGGAAGAAAGCAAAAGGTCATTAAGAAGACAAGATAAAAAAAAAAAAAACTCCAACCAAAATGGATGTCAGAAGAGACTGAAACTTG